ATAAAGCATGTTAAAAAAAAAAAAAAAAAAGGCATTTTCAAGTACCATCCAAAATCCAACTACTGAATTAATACACAAGAAACCGTGGAAGCAGACATGAGCACTATGGTTTCAGGCTTCTCTCAGAGAATTTTCCGTCAGACTGTTTCCCCATTAAACAGCAAGATTTCTTTGAAATAACAATTCATCCAAATATCATTTACTCTTAAACATGCATTCTAAACAATAAAAAAGACGACAGAGAACTGAAGCAACAGTAGTTTAGGAAAGCACAGCCAAGAGGTCACTGGGTTTTGCAATTAATCCATTGCAAAATATTTATGACCATTTTGAAAGGGTGGTGCGGTTGGTTTTTTGGTGTGATGGGTTGTTTGGGGGTTTTTTTGAGACACTTGGAAAAAATATCTATTCCTTGAAATTCGCAGCACTAATAATAACAACAGACTAAGCAACTAGCCCTGGAGAGACAGTTGCACCCAACTGTGGCAAGCAGTAGAACATTTATAGAATTTTAAATATTTCTTTTAATAATTGATGTAGTCATTTTGAATCTTTCTGCATAGGATATAACGTGTGAGTAGATTGCATTAACACTGCTTAAACATTTCAACTTGTCAGTATGGCCAAGTCGATATCTGAAATATTTGCAGTATTTTCCCATCGAAACAGTAATAAAGGTAGAATAAATATATGCCACTGCTTTATAATCACTGAACATTAATGAATATTTTATGTCTTTTTAAATCTCCCTGTTTAATTTAAAAGGGTGAAATTAAGTCCCCTCCCTCCAATATGCCAATTATCTGTAAATCAAACAATAACTTGGCCATTATACTCCTTTTTGTTAATATACCAGAAGCTAATTTGAAAACACTGAACAGCATTTTTAGGTAATAATTGAATAGTCCTTCCTGCCCTCTTGTGGTTGGCAACTGCAACTCACATGGAGCTTTTCCATGATTACAAAAATATACCAGAAGGAAAGTAAACTATTAATTTGTTAAAGTGTGAACAAGAAAGTGAAGGAAAAAAAAATATATGTAACAGTCCCTGGAGAGGAAAGAGACAATGGAGAGAAGAGAAGGAAAGATATCACCGATTCCTCCAAATCGCACAGACTAACTAGATTCATCAATCATTTGCTACAATGCTCACTCTATGCTAAAAGGAAAAAAAAATTAAATTAAATAGCCATTAGGGAGTTAACATACAAAACAGTGCTTGTTTTCTATAATTAGACAAATGTTCACCAACCCTTTTACCTCAGCCAAATCCCCAGTGATTTCCACGAGACTTTGCACAGACAGACATATTCACCTGTTCAGCATCAGCTGCACAAGAAGGTCCAGAGTTCTCTTTTCATTTTAGCCTCTGAAATTGTCTTCATAATTTTATAAAATCTATTGGATGTAATACTTAGATACAAGTCAGAAAGGCAAAGAAAGTTTTGACGCTCATGCTGGTTATGGGGTGGGTAGGGTTTTTTTGGATTTTGGTTGTTTAATGGGGAAAATAAATCATAACTGACTTTTAAATTAAGTTGACTTTATATGTTAACATGTTGACTGTAACCTGCCATTAGCAACAAACAAGAAAGCTTCAGTGCATGTAAAGGCAGCCTAAGTTCCCATGCACTGTCAAAGCTTTCTGGTTCCTTTAGGCCGGGTCTCTACAAGTTCGAAGACCCACCAGCAAAGCAGTAATTGATATAGCATAGATAAAAAAACCAAACAGGCAATATTTATGTATGTGTTTTCTTTTAGAATCTCACCATTTTAAAATTAAAAACAAATATTCTGATCATTTATTTCCATAAATATTCAAATTATTATTAATTGTAAAGAGTCAGGGCTTGGCCCCTCAAAAAACAAACTGATGCAACTATGTTTGTTTGTTTATATTACATTTAAAAAACCAGAACTTACTATAATAGGTTTAAAAAGGTAAAGTAGAAGACAGGCTTTCACGCAGGGGAAAGATCAGAATTTAGATCTTAAGAACAATAGGATTCACAATTAAAACAGTTAATGATCATTTTTCATTGTTGTATGAGATATTGCTCCTGTAGCTAATATTACAGAACTTAAAATAATTCTGTCTACAATGTCAGCATGTGACATGAAAAACTTCAGTAAAATCTGTTCAACCCTAAAAGACTGAGAAGTGCCAGATCAATAGCAAACATACATTTAATCTGAAAAGCAAACATTTAATCTTAATATTTTTTAATGTGAATTCTGAAGATTCACATTTCTAGATTGTTTGTCACGTTTCCAGAAGTTAGTGGGTTATATGGACAATAATGTCCAAAACATCTGGCATTAGACATACCATGGAGCATTAGACAACAACCTTTGGCTTTAGAAAGGAGTTTTACAAATATGCAAGGACTGCTTGTTCTAAATTCAGAGGGTCCAGAGTCATATCAGAGATATTTGTTCCTATAGGACTTAATTCTGACGAAGTTCTCTACAATATCACCCCTTGCTGGTCATTCTACAGAACGGCAGTGACATCATTATACACAAAACCATTTGGCTACCAAGGCAGTAAGAATTACAGCATTACGATAGCAACCAGTAATGGTAGAGATGCCTACAGAAAATGGAGATGGAGCTGGTTAAAAGAAGGGAACACAGAGGGAGCTTCAAGGGGCTTAAAAATAAAATGGAATTTGAATAACTGCCTTTCCTCATCACTCTAGAATAACTCACTAAACACTGTTCGTATATTTTGCTACTACAATGCAGAAAGAAACATCTTTTCCCTATAATTTCATAGAAAACCTTTTTTAGGCCAAGTTCTTCAATCAAATTACAGCATTCTTGATGATCCAGTTGATTAAACCAAAAAAAGACTAATAAAATAAAGGAATATCCTCCAAGACCACGTAAACCCTCTTTAACAGAGCTGGCATTAACTATAATGAGCTACATTTATTCTTCAGCTGTGAAACAGCACTCACCTCCTGAATGGTACTGCTTCCTGAGAAGTTGAGGTTGTACTCCCGCTGGACTTCTCGATGGGTGACAATCAGCATGAAGTTTTGATTTAATGACTCCTGCAGGGCCCTGAAATGGTTGAAAGAAAAACAAGAAAATCAGGGATAAGCATGTTATAGCTTGTTTTACAGTTAGATGCAAAAACCCCAGGGTACCCTAAACTCTACATGGACAAGTCCAGGCACAACATTATCATCTCTCTTTTCACTCTTAAATGCAAGGAAGCATGCTGAGAATGACCAAAGGCCATTCCTGAACTCCTTCCTTAATAAGGTGACTGCAGCCTTTAAAGCTCTTCTAATGTTAAGTATTCTCAAAATCGAGAGAGTCACATTATCTTCACAAACATCGGGTATATTTAGCACTCATAATGCCATTAATACCAGGCTTGTAAGCATATTGATGACCAGACAAAATATCAAGCTACAGTGCACATTAAAAACTGATAGTAAGTAGAACAAGGCAAAGCATGCTCTCGCTTCTCTAGGGTTACCTGAAGCATAAACCAAACAGAAATTCTTCCACTTAGTTTCATTCAAAGCACATAAACCCAGCTAATTAGAACTGGAAAACTAACCACTGCAAAAATTCTCATGTGGGTACTGAGCATTCAGAAAAGTTAGTTCTGCTCAAATTGTTTTAAATGTACATTAAAACATCTTTAATCATATGAATTTAAAAAAATAATCTTAAGATACAGATTAAACAGGCCAACTATTTGTTCATGTTGTCACAAAGTTGGGGCTTTTTGTGATTTTCCTGGTAACAAAACATCTGGATGTTAAAAAGGCATCCCGTTTGCTTAATCAGGTACAAAATTATGCAGCTATCTACTTTTCAAAACAGAAGGCAGGATTTCTGTTATAGGCACGGCAATTACAGCTGTGTACAATCTTATATAGGCTACAAAACTGCAGCAACATTGTAACATAGCATGGATTTCTAAACAATATTTATGCAGATTTGACCTGTTCCGTAGCATACGGAATTAAATTGGGCCTATTTGATTTTTTTTTTTTTTCCTTATCACACACTCTTTAAAGAATGACACACTGGGGTTTTTTCCTTCACATCTTCACTGTTCCATGACACTTCAGCATGCCATTCCTCTTAGCAATAAAGGACAAATTCTGTATGCAGATGAGCATAGCTGTATCTTAAGATACAAGAAGACAAGAAGGACTGCTAGGTTATTCGAGTCCTGATTTGTTAGTTTTTCCTTCTACTGGAATTACTGAGCTGCAGTTTTGCTGCTCAGATGCTAAGGAACCCATGCAATACTCACTGGATGCTTTAGCAAGAGATGCACAATTTGCTTTAATATCTCAAGAAAAATTACCTTACAAAAATATCTTCACTCAGCAACTTAATTTGGATTCTGTGACATCTTAAACATAATAATCACATACTACAAAACAAAATCATGAAGTGCTATTTCTTGTCTTTCATGGTTTTGTAATATGGAAGATAAATTTAACCCATTGTCAATGCTAGGTATGAATCAAGTGTAAGACATTACAAATGTAACTGAAGTCAGTCATCTATGCTGAACATGAAGTTAGCTGCACTTGTCACAAATCTTGTCAGAAAAGGCCTAAAAAAATTTTAAAATACTTGACAGTCCTTCAAAGGAGGAAAAAAAAAAAAACCTGAAAAGTTGTATGCCTATTGTCAAAGGTAATTCTAATTTGATTGTTAACAATAAGTCCAGCATCACCATAACTGTATTTCCTTTTGGCAAATGTTCAGTAGCAACTAAAACATCCTGCTGTGCTTTTTCAGATTCTGATTTTTTATTTGTTTTCAGCAAATACTGGAGGCAAATGACATATTTAATTGCTCCAAAAACATTAATTACAGCATATGTGAATGGCTCTGGATTCCATTCAGAATCACACACGGCTCTGTTATAGCTATTTTTGACTCTATCTGAAAATCTGTAGATGCTAACCAATAACATGACTCACATTTTCATTCTGTAATTGATGTAGACATAGAATGAAACAGGCTAGTTTGATCAAACCCTCAGTCTCTCAAGGTATGCATGATACACACACTTCAGTACTATCCAAAATACAGCATGCTAATAAAAAGCATCTGTTCACAGGAAAGGTTTTCCACTTCTCTATTTCATCTGGATGTGATAGCAGAGAGTATTTAGAAAAGGAAAAAATACTCTTCAAACACAGTTAATTTAAATGAAGTGTCTTAAAAGCCTCAATTTTTGAAGTAAATAACAATTTTGACACCTCTACTTTTTGGATTTCTAAACAACGCAAGCTGAATGTTGTTAACAAGCAAATTCTCAGTACATATTCATAGGCAAAAACAAAGAGGAGGCTGAAAATTAAGCTGGCTAAAAAAAAAAAACCTGAAAAAATTGAGGAAAAAATTGGTTTTGAAAGTGTTAGCAATTAAACTGCATGGTTAATTATTCACCTTGTCTTCAGAAAAATAATATAATGAGGAATATTACTTCTGCTTACACAGAAATGCAGTGGCCAACTGATCTGATCCTTTGAGCTCCTATATCAAAATCTCATATGGTCTGACAGCCGTAAGACCTGGACCATATACGTTAGAAAGTCAATGGGAGGAGGAATTGATGGCACATCTGATGGGCAGTTCGTGCCAGTGACTTCCTACGTGTACCAATGCTCCTCTGCGGGATGGGGTTGATTTGAACACACAGCTGCACAACCAGCAATGTCAGTCCCCTCCCATATACATCTCCTCCAGCAGCCAGGGATGTAGGCTGCCCCAAATTATTTGTGCCAATAGAACTCTGCTTCCAAAACATACCTTGCCCTAAAATTGTATTTTCAGCCATTAAGGCTATGATCAAATGTACAAAATAAGTGTTTTTAAAGGAGACTTCTCATTGACAGTAAGCTGAAGCTTACTTTTATTTCTTTTTAGGTGCACATAACTGTATTGAGAAGACCGACTTTGAACACAATGCACATTTCTAAAATTTTGGCTTCAGTGTTTGCAGCAGTTTCATACTCCTGCAAATGTTATCAGTTGACTACAATCTTCCAAATGAAACATCTGCATTAAAATTAAAAAAAAAAAAAATTTAAAAAATCAGGGCCAAACACCAGTTCCTTTTAAAGTCAAGACATATTTTCTTTTTTTCTTTTTTTTTTTTTCCCATCAGTGCTAACAGAATTTAATTAATCTGAGAATTAATTAGTGGGAAAAGAAAATCAAATTCTAGAAACAGGATTAAAGTAGGCCACTCTTATCAGCACCATTTCCCCCCTCTTGCAAACCCTAGCTTTCAAAAGCATTTGCTGATACGTTATATACTGCCATTACTTTTTTTTTTCGTCAGCTGAATGATTATACGTTCTCTATTCAGCACAGGAGGCAAGGGAACTTGACGGTATTTTTGGGCACCAATCTTCCATTAGAGGAACTCTGCCTGCACCCAAAAAAGAAGTCCAAGAACAGACAAAAGAAAATAGACCTGAGCACAGTCATCGCTCTGACCAGTTCTAGCAAGGGAGACTCAGACCAGTTTAGGATTTCATATGGATTGCCTATATAGCATTGGTTATCGGCATTATCACAATGCACACAAACCCCAGTGGTGGACCAGGATTCAGCTGGGGTTGAAACTCTACAATACGCAAACAAAAATGTTCCTCTTTGAAACTTAAATTTCAAGCAACAGAAGTTGCAAGAATTTTTTTTTCACTGAACTCAAAATATCAAAACTCAGTTAAGAGTCTGGAAAAAGTTCATTCACTAGCTATTCCATCCAAATTCAATACAGTACAATTTATAAACCACAAGTCTAATAAACTAAGAACAGAAACAATATTTAGCCAAAAAATGTGTAACTGCAAATACTGCTAATCTTAGGGGACAGCAAATGTTCAATCAGTCTATGCAATGCTGAGGCAAGATGGTATTAGTATTGATATTTATTATGTTTTATTTATATAATCATATAGATAATTTATATAAAAAATATAAATATATTTATTATATTTTAAGCTTTCCAGTTTACTGCTTTTCTACTGTTCTGTAACACTTAATATATAAAATAGATCTATTGTTAAGTGACTGCCTTAATGCTTTGATTTTTGATGTAATACTTTGCTTTTTAATAGCATTTTTCTGTGAAACTTTAGTAGTATTCTAAGCTTTGAGACCAAAAGTATATCCTTAATCAATGATCAGCAAATGCTCCTTTTCATTTCAGTTGTGTAAGTTTTTATGTAATACATTCAGTATTTCCCATTAGGCAATATCTTTCTCAGTCACATGGAGACTTCCCCCAAAATCTCTGAATTTTATATACATAGGTATGACCCAAGGTAATTAACATTTCCATTTTAAACTTACAGATTTATACAAGCTCATGTCAACAGAAGTCCAAATTTACTGTAATTACAGATTATTTACATTAAAACAAAATAAGAAATCAGTATGTAAATGTAATGTTTGTTGTAGCTAATGCAGCAGGAGGTGGTAGATTAGGTTCAAACAGCAATCAGTTAGCAAATCTGGCTAACATGTAAATGAGCAGACACCCTTTTGTTTACATTCTATTGCATTTTAAACTTCAGGATTTTTAAACTGTCTCATGAGCAGATGTGAAAATAAAACATTAATCTTACCATTCTTATTGAAGCTTTCAAAGTAACTAAAGCAAGGCACTGCTCCTGTCCAGCTAAACAGACAATACTAATAACTGGAGTTGCAGGTTACATCGTTCTTAATTAACACTCTGCTACAGTTGATAACGTACAAGACACCGTGCCACAATCACCACTGCTCTGCAACAATCTAAAACACAGGCATTCAGCAATGTATGGACCCATTACTTGAAAGATGGGGGTTGTGGGGTTTTTTTCCTACCCACACAGATGATTACACTACTTAAATAAGTTACAATCGCTTAGCAAAAACACATTATTTGTAACAGTCTCCAAGGTATGCACCCGGTCAAATATCTTTTAACTGTTTTGAACTTTCCAATGATTCATCAGGTATAATGACGTATCTAAGATTTTCAGCTATTCAGGAAGAAAGTAGAAATATAAAATACATTATATCCATTAAAATGACAACCAAAGAAAAAATTGATAAAACGCATCTCCCAGAACATTCACGATAAAAAGGAGAGACGACCCAGATGACCTAGCTCCGTGGCCAGACTTGCATGCCTACGCTTTTGATGCTCCCCTCTTGCATTCTTCTAAACTTTTTCCTTGAACTGGGTATTGCTGGCTTTCAAGAAGCACCCGAGGCAACAAAGGGAAGGAATTGCACTCTGAGGAAGTGAAGAATCTAATCTGACAAAGCTGGTGCAAGGGATCTCTCCCTTTGGACAATTAAATGATGGACATTCTTTGGCACCTTTCCTTTTAAGACTGCTTTCCAAAGGAAACCATGTTCTTCTCCACCCACCTGTCCCATCTGGTAACTTTTGAACATATTCACTGGTTTCAAGGAGGTCTGACAGTGTTATAAAGGTCTCAAGGATTGGGTGTAAATCAACAGCTGGGTAGAGGAAAGGGACCCAAATTACTACCCACCTTAGTAAAAGGCTGCATTACAAGCATAGTAATTTATACGCCATCCAGCTGACCTCTGGCCAATGATCTCAGAACTACTCACAGCATATGATTTCACCTTTTCTTTGATATTACCTGACTACCAGCTGGAGAATGGAGGCAGGGCAGGCTGACTGTCTATGCAGGAGAAAAAAAAATTACATAGGTGCTACAAAATGCATGGGAAGAACTGGAGGCAGCATCAGAGGTAGGCGAGATCATGAGAAGCATGGAGGGAGAGGACTGAGTTACTGCAGCCGCTGGGATGAGGCAGGAATTCACTAGAAATCAGGTTTCATTACGTCCACAGCTCACAGAACATGTTGTTATTGTTCTGGATATCGTACATGGATAAGTATGGCTTTACCAACTGAAATTGTGGAAGCAGGGCATGTAACCCTACAGGTGGCATTTGACATTTAAATTTAATCTTTACACCTCAATTTACTAGCATGCGGTAGTAATTCACTGGGTTTCTATTACCTATAAAAGCTTTAGATATGCCACGGAAGAATGAAGATACCCTAGGAGATTTTTGCTTGTTTAAACTGCAGGATCACTTTGCCATTACATTTAGATGCTAGTTTTAAGTCAGTTCTGCGTTAAGTCCATTCAGTTTGTCACAATAAACTTCAATGCCTACGTACCAATACGTTGGAAAAGGATGTTTCAGACACTGTTCTCCTTCAGTGTCAAGAACACATACAAATTGGAGTTTATAGAGCTGTGACCACATTGCTCCTTTTAAGAAGGACATATACATAAAATACCACGTACTGAAATCTCAGGCTTTTCAAATATCATTTTCTGGAGATACTCAAATCACGACTATTTATCTCTAGTTCAAAATAGAAGGCATTTGAAGAAAACAACAGATGAACTCACAAAGTAAGAGGCAAAGTTCCTTAACATCCATTAATAATAGATGTGAGCAGGATGCTTTTAAAAATTGTGGGTAACAAACTAATCTGAATAATAACTGACCTAACAGTAGGCAGTAAACAGTGTAACTGGGTTTGGTACATTGCTTCAATTAGATGCGTTTTGATCTGCATTGATGCTTTAATTGGAGGCAAGCCTCCCCTTTCATCTAGAATTTATGACTTCAGGGAGATGATCTAGCCTTCAAATTATCCTTGTTTAAGTAGCCACTAATTAATCATCGTTTGCTATCCCAAAGCTACCAACTTTATCTTAAAAATATCCAGAACTAATCTCCACTATGAAACAAGTATAAACTGTAAAGGTAACAACCACTTTGATTTTACTAGCAAGTAAAGTTCTTTTAAACTTTTCATTCAATAAAAAAAGCCTAAGAACTGTTTTTAAACAGTTTGTTGTATAGTTTATTGCAGTTGCAATAAACAACATTCTTCAGACCCCAGTTTTCTTTCCAGAATCAAAAACATTCGAATTACAATATACAGTGATATCTGGGTAGACAGTTTTGAAATTGGAGACGGATTTAAAAAAAAACAAACAAACAATTAGTATCTACAGTGTTTTTCCACAGTATTTTCACTGTCCTTCAACTAGCTGCTGCTGTACAATGGCTTATTGTCCTCACACACAACTACAGCTCCTGTTTGCCGATACAGAGCACATAGAGTTCACATACAGCTCACCACCACTCTGCTCCCCCTGTTCCAGTGCCACTATTCCCTCTTTTAATGCTTTTCTTTATTATTATTATTTTTATAATTCATATCAGTATTCTTATTTCCTCCACAGACTACACGGTTATGTGCACAAGTACCTTCTAGTAATATATGAAGTACTTTTAGTCATTAGGAAACCAGTTATTTATTTCCATTGATTGTCAAAGAATTTCCCTCATCAGTAATACGACTGCATTTGTAGAATTTTCTCCCATCGACTACAACAGCAGAAAAACAACTCCCTCTTCAGACAACCTGAAGGCACTCCAGTCTAATGATCATGCCATTTGACCAATTCCAAACGCAAGCCTCCCCGCTCGCTTGCAGGTCCAGAGCAGCGCTGCTCTTCCAGGCTCAATTACTGGGCACCCTCTAGCGGCTACCGAATAAAATTAGTATTTTCCTGGTAAAGAGCGCATACAGGTATGCCTTTGAGAAAGGGAAGGGCAGGAAAGAAAACAAGCCAAAGTAATCGAAGTAATTGCAAATTACTTTGTAAGAGTAAAGATTCCATTTTCTGTAAAATAACATTTCACTTTCAAACCTTAGCAATATTCACTGACATATGAATACTCACCGTTAACTTTTTGAGTATTCAAATCAGTAATAAGAGATATCCGGCTCAGTTAGAGGAAATTAATTATTCAGCCTGTCTATGTGCATTTTAAAAGTCCAAGAAGATAAGATAAACTAATGTAACAAACATTTCAGAAAGAAAATTCCTATCTGCTGGCAACGATTTATACAAATTTACATTAAATGAACCAACATAATGCAGTAACTTATGAAAGGCCAGCTCCCATTTCCACAGGGACTAGATTTTTGTTAAATTAAAGTCATAGCATCTGGGAGGTTGAAAATTCTGTATGTACCTAGGTGGTTCATGTACCACACCAAGGTTTTAAAAAAAACTTAACAACCTCCTTTTCAACAATGAGGTGCTGAGGTAGTTCATCCCAAAACTTACTAGAGCAGTAAAAACACTTTGTATTTACTGATTGCAGATTCCTGCAAGGATACATGTGGCTTCGTAAAAACCATACAAAACCAAATCATACAAGTAGAATTTATGGCCAAAAGACTTACCCAGAATGACTTGAAGAAGGAGGAGGCAGGTCAGGTGTTAGAACATAAAGACTATTATTTTTTGGCAAGTGTAGAGTTTTTAAAACAGTCTGAGGGGAGAAAAATCATTATAAATATAAAACATTCACCAATTTTGATGTATTATTTTATTTCTTTTAATTATTGATACTTATTTACAATACCACCAAATATTTTGTTTTGAGATATACTTACTGTTAACTTCATAATATCCTTTTTGTAGGTGGGCTGTGTTATATATAAAAACAACACAAACTAAAGTGATTTCTCATTATTGTTTTTGCAATGTTTTAGTTTAAGAGTTCCTTGTGTGCCACCCGAGACATCTAACGCTGTTTGAAACTCACAGTTCTTGCATTGTAATCCCCACCCACAGATGCTCAGTTTGAAACTCTGAATTCAGTTAACTGAAAACACAGTTGAAAACTTACACTATCATCTACATCTCCAGTCTTCCACCCTTTTAACAGCATTTTAGATGCAGGAATCTGAAGTTCATTTTCTAGAATATGTTTGATACCTCCTAAAGAGAAAACAAAGAAAATACATAAAATATACACACTTACTGATTTATTTCAAACAGTACTGAGTTATAGTTAAAAAAAGAGAGCAAAGAAAAATTTACTATGAAAACCATTTTTAATCTAGTTACCCTTGTAACATACTCTTCAAACAGTAAAGGACAAATGAAGCTTAAAAAAAAAATTAAAAACTCACATAAAGCATGAATGATTGGAGCATCACATGAAGATTTGACTATTTGGACATATATTTGAATAGTTCTACACTGCATATGCTAGACACACACATTTGCAGATGCATGCTATCTGGAGCAACGGACTTTGCCGGCAATAAAGAGGGTGCGTATTTTTGATACCCAATTCCATTATCAATAATCCTGACCTAAAGAACTGGAGTGTTCATACAATTTAACTGCTCTGACAGCTTTTTCAATGTTTTGCACATTTTGATGCTCTCCTCTCCCTGTAGTTATTACAGTCATAAAATAATTCAGACTGGAAGGTACCTCAGGAGGTCATCTAGCCCTAGCCCAGCTCAAAGGTCTAATTAAACCAGTTTAGTCAAGGATTTGTCCAGCTGACTCTTGAACACCTCTAAGGATGGAAGTCTGACAACTTCTCTGGCCAACCTGTCCCAGTACTTCACCACTCTCACAACTTCTAAAAAAAAAAAAAAAAAAAATCCTTATATCTAATGGGAATTTTCGATGTTGCAAATTGTCCCCATTGCCTCTCATCTTATTATCATGCACATCCAAGAAGAGTCTGGCTCCACCTTCTCTGTGTCCTCGCAGCAGGTAGCTGTAGACAGAGGTCTCTACCTCACCCCTTCTCTTCCCCAGGCTGAACAAATCCAGTTCTCTGTGCCTCGCCTCCTATGTTGCCATGTGCTCCAGTCCCCTGACTATCTTGCTGGCCTCTCCTGGCCTCACTGCAGAATGTCAACGTCCTTCTTGTACTGGGGACCTCAAAATCAGATGCAGTACTCCAGATGCGGTCTCACAAGTGCTGAATAGAGGGGAATAATTATTTCCCTGGATCCATGGGCTACACTCTTGCTAACACAGCCTAGGATGTGGCTGGCCTTCTTCATTGCAAGGGTGCACTGCTGATGCACACACCTAGATCCCTTTTTTTATAAAGTTGCTTTCTAGCCTGTCAGCCCGCAGCCAGTTATCAGATGGGATAACATGGAGTTATCCTACCCCAGATGCAGGACTTCAACTTTGCTTTCTTTGAACTTCATGAGGCTCCTGCCCACCCATTTCTCCAGGCTGTCCAGGGCCCTCTAAATAGCAGCCTTGCCCTCCAGAATATCAGCCACTTTCTCTGATTCTTTGTGAACTTGCCAAGAGCGCTAACCTTAACAATCAGGTTTTTAATAAAGACATTAAGCAACACTGGCCCCAGGATCAACCACTGAGGGATGTCCCTAAACTAGTAACTATTCACCAGTTAGACTTTAAGCCCAGCAGTCCAGGCAATTATCCACCTACCATATCAGCCCACTTATCCAGTCCTTATCTGAACAATATGACTACAAGAATACTACAGCAGAGTGTGTCAAAGGCCTTACTAAAATCAGAGTGACATCCACCATTCTCCCCTTGCCCACAGAGCCAGTCATCAAATCATAAAAGGCAAGTAACGTTGATTAGGCACAGTTTGCCCTTAGCAAATCCATGCTGGCTGTTCCAAATCACCTTCTTTTCTTTTCTGTGCTCAGAAAGGGCTTCCAGAAGGATTTTCTCCATAATCTTCCCACAGGCCAAGTTCAGCAGTGGCCATTGAACAGCAGGCTCACTTTTTCCTTAGCCTTTCTTTTCATGCCAATGTACTTACAGAAGCCCTTCTAATCCCTCAGTGGTTTCAGCTCCACCTGAGCTTTGGTCTAACTCCAAACCTGCATACTCTGGCAACGCGTCTGTATTCCTCCTGGGTAGCCCCGTTGCTACCTTCCACCAGCTGTGTACTTTCCTTTTTGCATTTAGCGTAGTCATAAATTCTTTGTTGTGCTGGCCTTCTGCCATGCTTGCTCCTCTTTCTGCATGTTGGAAGGGACTGTTCTTGTGCTTTGAAGAGCTTGTCCTTGAAGATCAACCAACTCTCTTGGGCCCCTTTTCCCTCAGGGCAGTCTCTCATGGGATCCTGCCAAGCAGATCCCTGAAAAAGCCAAAAATCTGCTTTCCTGAAGTCCACGGTTGAAATTCTACTATTTGCCTTGCTCACTCCTCTCAGGACTTTAAACACAAGGCTGCCCTCAATCTTCATATGCCAAGATACAGACAAAAGTTCTACACTGACTGCTTCTGCCCTACAGCTTAATCATTTATACCCGAAAGAAATTAATAAGAAAAGAAAAAATAAAATACTACGGCTGCAAAATTCTGATTTGATCAGACTTTTATATCTACTTTGCATGGATGCAACTCAATGCAGTGGAAAACATGAAACACTAATCAGGAATTCAAACTAACCCCCACTAGGTGGCCCCAGCCAATACCAAATCAAATGCTAGTAAGACAAATAAGGATAAAAAGTTTCAATTTCAAAATTTCACTACAGACATAAGGCTGCAGCACTGAAAATTGTTTTAATCAACTATTTCTTCATTTAGTTCCTTATTCTTATCTGTATAGTCTTCACTAAAAAAAAAAAAAACCCACCAAAACAAAAAACCCCTCTTCATCCTTAGCAAAAGTAAATTAACTCACAGTTTGGGGAATGTAAAAAATAACATGCTCTGCAATACTAACAACAGCATATTTCTAACATACTGTTACAAAATGCATCAGTTTTAGGATAAAGACAATAAAACTTATAAAAGAAATCTTAATTTGCACAAACAAGTCAAATAAAAATTGAAAAAAGAAGAATGCAACGATGCTCTTCACACTGGAAAGAATTCCTCTAAATCTTGTCACTAATCCTACACACAAAGAGATGCCATAAGATTTGAAAAGGAAATGCCAAGATCATCCACTTACTAGTAGACTGCATCTACACTAATCTTACCCCAAATTACATTTTCATGCCTCAACTTCATCAGTAATCTCCATTCTGTTCCTGAAGCAAGTTCATAAGAAAACTAGATTTCAAAATAAGTATTTGATAGACCACTAACCTTTACAATGGATTAGTGAAATTTTGCTTTTTTAAAGCTGCAAAGAGATTTGAAAATGGTTAGTAGCTGTGGAGGCTGCATTTTTGGGGGGATTTTTTTCTTTGAGGGGTTTTTGTTTTGCTTTGCTTTTTTTAGGATTTGGATTTTTGGGGTTGGGTCTTTTTTGTTTGTTTTTATTTTAACAATTTTACCATAACAGCTTTAATTTCATTTTTACAAATCCTTACCAACTGTAGAGCTGTCTTCAAGTACTACATCCACATTTCTGTCTCTGTACTCAACCCTGAAGTCAAGCATTCGAGGTTGTCTTTCCACTATTTGTCTAGATGGCACTACATGGCGAAACGCTGAGGATGAGGAAGGAGTTGAAGAAGCTGCTGTAGAATGACTTGTCGGGCCATATGCTGGTCCATGTAAAGTCTCTCCACCGTACTCACTGAAAGATATGCACATAAAAAGGTTTACACAGAACAGCTTGATATGTTTAAATAGAAGTTAGCAAAGCAAAGTGAACAGTATTATTCACTTACTGTGGTCCACAGCACACACCTCTTGAATAAACTACACTGTCATATCTGAAAATACTGTTTTATTAATAATTAGAAAATAGCTTTCCTATCAGCAATATTAACATTTCAGTGACTCAGAAGTGCTATAGGAGAACAGCTTAGATGACAAACAGGCATTTAAGCCATTACTTCACTCTCAAGTTCACTATGTAATTAATATCAGAATTATCTTGAGAGGAAGCATTATCTCCAGTTCCAGAAGTGCTGTGACCATATAAAAATTGGCACCATGGCAACCACCAGCTTTCTACATCACTGGGCTAGTATCACATGGAAACGAGAGTAAGACATAAAGCCTAAAATACTGCACGTGTATTGGTATTTTCCAATACCAAATTAGTGGAATACAAGTCAGATATGAAAATAGTTATGTACTTAAGGTACATAAATTAAGATAATGAGGTATATATTGCAAAAAAATACCTAGAAGTACAACAGTAATGCAATGCTGAATTGTAGCTTGCCTTTAAGTTCAAAATCCTTTAAGCCTCCTGGACATTCATATAAGGATGTCTCCATACCTGGCTCAAGGATACATAGAGCATTACAGATCAGAATAAATTGGGAAACCCTCACTACACAGAAGCACTTCATCTTCCTCAGTGAGCCTCTCCACAAGAAGCATGTAACTGGGATTAGAAACAAAGGGAACAAAACATGAAATTTAAGGAACGTTACTCCAGGCCAAAAAAAACCTATGATGTACAGAAATTAAATTTGGAAAGCAAGAAACCTCACAGGGCAAGCCTAGAGCTTTGCCTTGTAGATGTTCTTATCAGGAAGATTACCTGTCCTGGGCAGTTACAGGGTATCACAAAGGAGGATGCAAGCTAATAAAAATGTATGCACTGAAAGAATGGAAGCCGAGCAAAGAAGGATTTAGGAAATGCTGAGATGTAAGTTGTCTCATTTCCATCCTTAAACAGGACTTATCTTAAAAATGCATTCTACCCTTCTTGAAGATACCATAAGATCTGTCAATGGAAATGCTGCTTATAGCAAGTAAAATCTGTCATCTAGAGGAGGCCTGAACTTAAAAAAAGCATAAATGTGGATGGTATGCATGTCACACAAGTGCCGAAGTTATACAGAGCTAATGCAAATCCCAACACTATACCTTCCACATCTGACAAAGAAAAACGTGTTATGCTTGTAAAACAAGGGGTTCCTTCACTTCTCACATCAGCAGGCTCAGAAGGATGAATTCCCAGCTACAAAGACCCACACTCAAAGACCCATGCTCAAAGGTCAAAGACCCACTTCAGAGGTCTAAAGAGTAGAGGAAACAGTCTTATTTTCAGGATTTAAAAAAGTATAAATACCGAGTGATATGTTATTGTCTTAAATCTGATGGCCAACTATGAATTAAGTACTATAACCGTTTTGTTAACAGACCCAAGACACAATGAATATCCTGATTCTCAGGACCCTATTTATTTATACAACACAACTGAATTATAAAACAAAATGTATTTTTTTCCCTTCAACAAATCAACTTACTTTAAGTCCAGTTGTATTAATTCTATTTGATTCCACCACAAAAGGCATCCTACATATCTGACTGGCAACCTCTAATGGAACATAAAAAGCCTCACATCAGTAAAATAAGCCTCATCTGAAAACCACTGGAAACTAGGCTTCTAAGTCTTCTCAGCCTCCTTTTAAACCACTTCCATTGGAAGAGGAAAGAAAAAAAAAGTTTTGAAACACATTTGACTGTCTAATCATTTCTAAAAATTAATAAATCAATGTGGAAGAAAACTGTAAGTGGACACTGGACCAGCCTGTTATCCAAGTCAGGCATAACTACTCCCCAGCTCCTTCCCCCTGACCAAATGGTTCCAAACATTCTGGTATTTTGAATATAAATGCTTTGAGGCCAGGACATTAACATAGGTAGAAAGAGCGCTCAACACAACTGAGACTTGATCTCAAATGGGCTAGGTAGGCCTTAAGGTAAATATCTAGTAACTTTACTGAGCAAATAAGGTTTTATCCTGAATCAAAAACTGACTCTATTTAATGATAGCTTTAGTAAGTATTGACGGAGATGCCAAAACACCACTTTACCTACATTATGTATGTCTTTTCATCATTAAAATAAACTTTAAATATAGTACATTGAGTATTTTTCTAAACAAAATTTTAAACACTATTTTACTGTCTCTCTCAAGTAGCTCAATTCCTGTTCTGCTGTTTTCAATTGCCTCATCAGCACTTAGGAGCTCATGCTTCAGTGACTCCAAGATATCCAGGCATCAGTATACAAGCCAAAATTTAATTCAGAAGCTGAAAGAAAATCAGTAAAGCTACTTTTAGAAGGGAGCAACCTTACTTTATCTAACACAGTATCCGCTGCCTGCAATTCAATTTAAAAATAAAACACCAAACAAAAAAACTCTACAAAAATACAAACATTTGTGGCCAGGGACAGGGAAGCATGGAATATCAATACCTTTAAAAACGCATAAGGAAAAAGAAAGTACTTAGCCAGGAACATCTGTGGATTTGCCTTGCAAATTTTTAAATCTTTGGAAAAAAAACAACAAAACTCAAGTCCTGACATCCAAGACAGCATACCAAAATCCAGACTTAGTAAAGAGACAACGCTACACAGAATGACCCGACAGCCAATGAATTCAAAATAAAAATTAATTAATTCAAATAGGTGTTCGAGCTGGTCCTCCATCAGTATGGGAAAAATTGAATATTAAATCAGCTTTGCCAGGAATAGAATTTGTGGCTCCAGAAACTGCTTTAAAAGGAGAATTACATCATCTTCTTAGGATTCAGGAACAGAAAAAGTAACTATTACCCAGCATCATTCTCTGTGTGTACTACTCCAGTCTTCTGTGCTTACCTTTGTAGAATGCCATTTTCTTGTGGTATTACACCATTTATAGCTGCCTGAAAAGAGAAAAAACAAATTTCAAGTCAAGCATACAGAGCAACAAAAATAAATCAGAACTTCTATAATATGTTTTAAAGAGTGATTAGCTTGCTTTAAAATATGCCATAAAATGTTCTCCATTCAGTGAATATTCTTGGTAAACGATATTGTCATTAAAGTACCTGCATAAAATAAAAACCTTATCTAAGTGAAAACGAACATGAACTGAAGCTCAGACTCCTATATGCGTGCAAAATCTTTGGAAAAAAAAAAACAACAAAACTCAAGTCCTGACATCCAAGACAGCATACCAAAATCCAGACTTAGTAAAGAGAGAACCCTACACAGAATGAACCGACAGCCAATGAATTCAAAATAAAAATTAATTAATTCAAATAGGTGTTCGAGCTGGTCCTCCATCAGTATGGGAAAAATTGAATATTAAATCAGCTTTGCCAGGAATAGAATTTGTGGCTCCAGAAACTGCTTTAAAAGGAGAATTACATCATCTTCTTAGGATTCAGGAACAGAAAAAGTAACTATTACCCAGCATCATTCTCTGTGTGTACTACTCCAGTCTTCTGTGCTTACCTTTGTAGAATGCCATTTTCTTGTGGTATTACACCATTTATAGCTGCCTGAAAAGAGAAAAAACAAATTTCAAGTCAAGCATACAGAGCAACAAAAATAAATCAGAACTTCTATAATATGTTTTAAAGAGTGATTAGCTTGCTTTAAAATATGCCATAAAATGTTCTCCATTCAGTGAATATTCTTGGTAAACGATATTGTCATTAAAGTACCTGCATAAAATAAAAACCTTATCTAAGTGAAAACGAACATGAACTGAAGCTCAGACTCCTATATGCGTGCAATGGATTTCCCAGGTGGAATGCATGGGAATAAACTGCATGGCCCATGCTCAGTAAATCTAACACTTTGTACACTTGGTACACACATACAGTGAACATACTGCTTTCAAATACATCAAGCTGCGCACAGACAAGGCAGCCAGACAGCACATACACAGAAAATCTAATGTTTCCCAGAAGTATCAGACCTGCACAAACCTATAAACCTGCACAGCTGCACATACACTGCGTGTTGCAAGCCTGATGTGCTCACTAATTGCTGAAGTCAGTGCAAATGGCTACTCAACAGCACACATGCCTCGATCACACCTATGCCTTTCAGACAACCTGCTAGATAGCTCACACACACAAATACCATCTAGCCTCTTAAGAGTCCTCATGTGCCAGGGAATCACAGAAGTTACTACCCCCAAAATTCAAAAAATCTTCAGGTAGAAAAGGAAGTATTTTTAAAGTGAGGTTTATGCGGTTAAATATCACCCCATGCTGTCCAGATCATCAGAATAAACAAAATATTACTTATAGGTGTATAAGTACAAACCTGGCAAGCTGCATTCAGATTTGGTCTTATTTGAAATGACAGAGTTATTACCTATAAAAATATCCTAATGAATTCTATCTCACGTTAAAATGCATTATTTTTAAAATAGCCACAACATACCCCATTGCAAGTTCAAAACCCCACTTCTGACAAAATTGTCTTCTCAGCCTGTTACAGCATTGCTCCATTCTATGTTGCAGAAAGTTTTAATGTATTTCCGGCACATCTGATGCTATATTAGTTTGTATAAACTTTGAAATTATGTGTCAGTCAGGATGAGGGAAAAACTTGGAAAGCAAATAAGACTCTCTTCAACAGTATTTAGAAGACAACTTATTTCAGACTGCTTTATACCACCAAAGAAGTGTTTTAAAATCATCTCATTGCTTGGATTTTTCAGATTTGAGGGGCAGTGAAAGTCATACCACGTGAGCTGGTGAAGATGACTTACACATTTTACTCCTCAGCTGATTAAACTTTGTTCTGATTATTGTTAGAAGACATTGGAGTAAAGATGTCAGAACCCTACCTAACTTCAGACTTTTAATCCTAGCCCAGCAGTGGGCTGATAAGGTGGAATAGCACAGGAGGGAATTTGACAAGGAATGAGAAAGAATTCAAAAAATTCTACAGAGGAAAAAACCCAGACCTCAAAAGACTAATTCTATTTCTGCTTTTTGATGATCTTTATAATCACTATTATGTTCACAGGTACATATTTGTTAGGCTTAACGGTGAGATTAAAGAGAGCTTGTAGCATCCCATTAATCTCCATTTTCTGCCGTACCAGCAGCGATTCATGCATTTCTATTATCACAACTTCTAATATCCATTCTCGTAAGTCAGGTATACCTGACCAGTTGGCCAGAACAGCTGGTGAATGAGTGTCTGGTCCCTGATGAAGAAGAGAACACTGACATTTAGAAGCTCATAGATTCCCTGGTACTCCAGGACGATGAAGTCAAATACTGCAACTGAACTATGGACAGTCATCATCTACCAACATAATTTTTACAAATTGACATAAAAAATGCACCTTAAGTGCTTAATAAACACAAATCTTGATATCGTCTAATTTTAAATGCTATGCTTTTTCTATGAATATATAAGCATGAATTTTTACAATTTCCATTAACAGTTAAGGCTACATAAAGTCAAAAAGTATTTCTGCTGAACTCAGCTAAGTAACTATGATATTGCGGTAAGATTTATCATATATTTAGAGACAAATATTGCATAAATAATAGCAAAAAAAGCAGACAAGGAAAAGGGTCACAAGGATCTGTAAGCTACAGCAACTACCCATAAGGCTGTATCAAATTACAGTGAAAACAAAGCTTCCTACCAGATCAGTTTTTAAATCAGTTTATCCACCGTGCATGGCAATAATCAGTGGTTTCTTTTTAACAACATGTCTCATTTATCATCATTGTGGGTTTTGCAGTCATACGTAGCTCTTGATCATGTTCATCTAATAAACCTCCAGGAAAAAGTGGGAGGTTTTGGTTTGTTTGGGTTTTTCTGGATTGGTTCCCCCACACACACGCTTCAGCAACATACATTTCATTCCTGTCAATCAACAGGTAAAGTTGGTTGAAAGACAAAAATATCCTTTATTTTGCATCTGTAGAATACAGAGAGCAAATACAGGTTTTTGTACCACAGGACCAACACTAATAATGATCTGCTGGTGCAAGAGAATTCTCTTTACTCTAAGAAAAAGAAGCTGCTTCAGCTATGAAGAAATAGAGCTCAGCGTGGCATTTCCATACTTTTTCTGTCAAAGCTCATGTCGCAGTCTGAGAGGATTAAATCAGCTCAAACTTTTTATGAGCATACTTAGAGGGGTTAAATACGATAGAGGCTCCAAGTTATTTTCTTTAAAACTGAATAACTCACTTGTTCACGTCCCCAGTTTTGTAAACTTGATGACATTTAAGGGGCACAGCAGTAAGAAAAAACAGCAGCAGCAGCATTATGTACTTTTTTGATGGAAAGACCTCTATTAACCACACTGTAAAAATAGAGTCTGGACACTGTTTGTTAAGCAAGATGGAAGACTGAAATTATGTAGATGGCAAATGGTAGCAGTGCACATGTAGATATTGCATAAATATTAAATACCCATGTTCTTACAAGACATCTATAAGTAGACCCTGAAAAGAAAATAAGAAAAAGGAACAACCATCTGCTCTAGAATTTCACAGGAGGAAGGTTGTGACTATTAAAAAAAAAAAAAAAAAAAAAAAGTTATTCAGGCAAGATCTGTTCCAGGCTGTTCTTCCCCAATGTCAGTCCCCTTTGAGAGAGGATCAGGTCTCTATGGTTAAGCAAACATTCAAAGATATTAATTTTTTTTTGGTCTTTCCAAACAGGGATCATTTGATCATCAAAAACAGCCTGTGTGACTAATATACAGTAATTAAAAAGATGTATTACCCTTGAAACAATTTTAATAACAGGTGCAGTAAATCTATTCATGGGTTATTAAATACAAAGATACCATGTCTGGCTCAGAAACTTTCTTCAGCTCCCAATAACCTATTGCTGAGAGTGCTACCAAGGAAGTAGCACTCCATACTTACGCTGTTCTCACACTGTGTATATCCACGAGTGTCGCTTCTGGATACTGGGTACCACAACTTCAACGGGTAGTTTACCTATTCTAGTGCTATCACTATTTAAAGAGTGAAGCTCGCCATAAGTGGAAAATTATAGGGGGTTTATAAGATTTTTTTTTTCCCAAAGCCAAGAATCTTAGGTTTGTCTCAGTGCTACCCATATACAAACTCTTTGTAACACTGTTCAAACTTGGAACAGAGGCATAGAAGCAAGGACACAATTATTGTTTTGATGACAATATTCAAACAACTACCAGGCCCACAACTTATTTTAGGAAATTATGAGCCAAATTTAGTTATTCTTCATTTATACATTTTGTTTAGAGATATCACTCATATATATTCAAAATATATAAGTAACCTGATAAAGCAACAATGTTGATGACTTCTCTCAAAATACACAATTATAGTACTAACCATTTAAAAGCACTTAAGTACATCTTAGAGTGACTCTCATCCCAGGGGAATGAGGGTCCTATGAATAATTATGAACGAACTGTGGTATTTTAGATAGCACAAAAACTAAACTCCCGAGTTTAAAATACTCAGTGGTTATCACTAAGTTTGAAAATGGACTGGATTTGCCAATCATATTATTTAAAAGCAGAGGTCTACATATACTGATGATATATTCAAACAAGGCAGGGAATTCCTTTCTCTTCATGAACTACAGCTAGGAGGTAGTTTTTAAATTTCCAGAATTTAAAAGTGATGTTTAGATTAATTATCTTAAGACTTAAAACCAGGCCCCGACAAAAGCACAGTTAAAGGCTTTTGCAATGGGTGAGGTGGGAGAAGATCTTCCTCCATGGCCACCTCTTGTTCTCTCTCTTTCCCAACCTCCATACTGCACAATGGTTTTGGCCAACAGATGCAGACCCTGCCCTAGATATAGATCCTTTAAAACTTTCCCCATTCAAACCTCTACCCCAATGAAGAGCAAGAGCTTTTACAAAGCACAACATAAGATCAACTTTCCAAAA